CCTTAAAGATCATAGAACCGTAGAATGGTTTGGGTTTGGGTTGGAAGGGTCCTTAAAGATCATAGAGCCATCGGATGATGTGGATTTGGGTTGGAAGGGACCTTAAAACTCACCCATCCCCCCTCTGATGTGGCTGGATGTGAGGAGGGGTGGGAGGCGAGTTGGGGGTCCTTCTCCCACCCTCACCCTGCTGTCCCCGTGCCCCCCAGGCTGGGAGTATGGCATCACCATCCCTCCGGACCGGCGGCCCAAGGCCTGGGTGCCAGCTGAGAAGATGTACCACACCAACCGGCGCCGGCGCTGGGTGCGACTGCGCAGCAGGGACCTGGCACAGATGGAAACAGTCAGGAAGGTGGGGTGAGAGCAGGGGAACGGGGCTGGGAGCAGCTCGGGGCTGCGTCCTCACATGGGGGGAGATGCTGGGGGTCGTGGCACTGGGGGCCTGAAACAGGAAAGCTGCGTGGTTTTCACCGGGGGGGTCAGCATCTGTTTGAGGTGGTGGCATCTCGGGGTGTTGGTGGCTGTTGGGGGGGGGGACAAGATACAGATCGGGGCTGTGCTGGCCACTCCATGCCCTTTCCCAGCCCTGCTCCCCTCTAGGTGGTGCCATTGGACTGTGGAAGCCGCAGCGCTGCGACGTTCCTGGGAATAGTTTCCTTCTTTTTCTCTCTCTCTCTAGAAAGTTTGGGATGGAAATGTTTGGGGACCCCAATCCCATCTCCCAAAGGGTCCCGGGCTGAGGGCTGACAGAGGTGTGGGGAGAAAAATCCCTTCTTGGCTTTAGCCATGCAGGGTGAAGTGCTGTAGGGTCAGCGCCCACTGTGTGCGTCCCTGTGCCACGTCCCCGTGATTCTGGGACACCTCCGAGGACGGTGAGCCCACCACCCCATGGGCAGCCAACGAATCATAGGATCACAGAACGGCCTGGGTTGCAAAGGAGCACAGCTCTCATCTCATCCAACCCCCTGCTGTTTGCAGGGTCACCAACCAGCAGCCCAAGCTGCCCAGAGCCACATCCAGCCTGGCCTCCAATGCCTGCAGGGATGGGGCATCACAGCCTCCTTGGGCAACCTGTTCCAGTGCCTCACCACCCTGTGCAATTCCCTTCTCCCATCACCATCCACCCTTGTAAACAGCCGTTCCCCCTCCTGTTTATCCGCTCCCTTCAAGTCCTGGCAGGCCACCATGAGGTCTCCCCTGACCTTCTCTGCTCCAAGCTGAACAATCCCAGTCCCCTCAACCTTTCACAAACAGCCACCCCAGGAGGGCTCAGAACTGCTGGGGATCCCACAGCAGCTCACACAGAACCACAGAACAGCCGGGGTTGGAAGGGACCTCAAGGGTGATGAAGCTCCAACCCCCTGTTGCATGCAGGGCCACCAACCTCCATATCCAAGGCTACACCAGGCTGCCCAGGGCCCCATCCGACCTCCAACACCTCCAGGGATGGACGGGGCATCACAGCCTCCCTGCAGCTGTTCCAGCACCTCACCTCTCTCTCTCTAAAGAACTTCCCCTGACATCCAACCCCAAGCTGCCCTCCCTCCATTCAAACCGTTTCCCCTCGTCCTGCTGCCATCTCCCCTTGCACAGAGCTGCCTCCCCTCCTGGCTGCAGGCTCCCTTCAGGCACTGCAGGCTGCACTTTGCTCAACCCCGCAGCTTCTCTCCTCCGTGTTGAACGAGCCCAGCTCCCTCAGCCTGGCTTTGTGGTCGATGCTGCAGCCCATGCTCATCTCTGTGGCTCCTCTGCTCCCTCTCCAACAGCTCCCTGCCCTTTTTGTACTGGGGGCTCCACACCTGAACGCAGCGCTGCAGATGGGGCATCATCACGAGAGCAGAGCAGAGGGGAAAGCTCCAAGAAGCCAAGCAGAACCCGGGCACAACCTCACCCAAGGAGACCCCCCCCCTTTTTGGTGGTGCTGAGCCCCCATCTCTCTCCCCGCAGCACAAGCAGGACGAGCAGGACGGTGAAGGCTGGGAATACGCCTCCCTGCTGGGCTGGCGCTTCCACCTGCGGCCCCGTCGCACCGACGCTTTCCGCCGCCGCCGCTGGAGACGCAGGATGGAGCCCCTGGAGCGCACCGGGGCTGCTGCCGTGTTCGCCTTGGAAGGGGCCCTGGTAGGTCCCCGACCGCCGGCCGTCTGCTCTTTGCTAACGCACAAAATGAGAACCGGCGGCGGCGGCGCCAGGCTGCTGTGATGGGGCTTCGTCCCTTTTTGGGTTTATCCCTCACCCCGTGCTCTGGGCCGACCTTCCCCCCCTCTCGTGAGCCACCGTGGGCTGAGGGTTGGGTTGCATCACAGCCATAATGCAGCACTGGGGAGGTCCCAGCTGTCACCCACCCCCTGGTGTCACCAACCCTGAGGGATTTCATAGAATCATAGAACCACAGAATGGAAGGGACCTCAGGGGTGATGAAGCTCCAAATCCCTTGCCACACGCAGGGCCACCAACCTCCCCATTTCACAGCAGCCCAGGCTGCCCAGGGCCCCATCCAACCTGGCCTTGGACACCTCCAGGGATGGATGGGGCATCCACAGCCCCCCTGGGCAGCTGTTCCAGCCCCTCACCGCTCTCACAGCACACAACTTCCCCCTGACATCCAACCTCAGTCTTCCCTCCCTTTACACCATGCTTTGGGAAATCTGGGCTAAACCGATGGTGTGAGATGCTCCTCGTGGGCTGGACCCAATGGGTTCCTTCCCAGGATTTAGGGGCAGAGGATCCTCAGCTCACCCCATGGTGCCAGGAGGCGAAGGCCCCCAGGTCTTCGGACACCCCAAGGTGTGCAGCCATGCTGCCCTCTCTTGCAGGGAGGAGTGACCGACGACAAAAGCGACGACGGCAAATCCGTCTCCACGCTGAGTTTTGGTGTCAACAGACCCACCATCTCCTGCATCTTCGACTGTGAGTCTCGTGTGGGGGGGAGGACGAAACTCAATGGGGGCACCCCATGGCCGGGCATCACCCCATCATCCTCCTTGGCTGCCGTCAGGTGCCATTGGGTGCAGATGGGGGTCACCCCTGGCTGCTCCTCTCACCCATTTCTCAATTTATTCCAGATGGGAACCGCTACCACCTCCGCTGCTACATGTACCAGGCACGGGACCTGGCTGCCATGGATAAGGACAGCTTCTCTGGTGAGCCCATCGTGCGGGGACAGGAGTGTGGCTGTGGGGAGGGGGCCGTGCTGGGATGGTGCTTGGTGGCCCCGCAGTCTCATCCCTGTGGGCTGTGCGGAGGTCACGGATGCTCCGTCACGCAGGTTGAGGTCCTCACCAGCGGACGTTTCGGTGCGAGGTCCCCCAGCTGAGCGTGCAGGGCTGTGAGCTGGCATTCCTGAGACACGCTGGGTTGGCCGTTGCCCCCTCAGACCCCAGGCTCTGCGTGGCTGTGAGTCACCTCCTCCCGAGGTGGCTGGGATTCACCCTTGGCTTTCTGTGTCACCCCCTGCAGACCCCTATGCCATCGTTTCCTTCCTCCACCAAAGCCAGAAGACGGTAGTGATCAAGAACACCCTGAACCCCACCTGGGACCAGACGCTCATCTTCTACGAGATTGAGATCTTCGGGGACCCCAAGAACGTGTCTGAGTGCCCTCCCAGCATCGTGGTGGAGATATACGACCACGACACCTATGTACGTGTGTGGAACGTGGTGGGTCCTCGTGGTGGGAGGGCTTGGGGTGCCACAGGTGGGGTTGTGCGCTCGGCTGCCCAAAGCATCTTAAATGCCTTCTAATGTGACAGCATTTCGCAGGGGGATAACCCCAGTCCTCCCCAGACTGGCTGAAACAGCTCTTGGGTTGGGCTCAAATCATAGAACCGTTCAGGTTGGAGAAGACCTCCAACATCCCCAAATCCAACCCCAGCCCACCCCACCGTGCCCACCGACCCTGACCCCTTAGCTCCACATCTCTACAGCTCTCAAACACCTCCAGGATGCCCCACCTCCAGGGGCAGCCCGTGCCCAGCACCCCCCAAACGACCCCTGTGGATCTCAACGATCCCTATGGGTCATCCCTTCCTGCTCAGAGCTCTCGCTGTGGGATCTGGGCAGAGAATCCTCACCCTCTCTATAAGCTAAACGCACAGAAATGAGTGTGTTTGTGCCGGGGTTGGGGGAGCACTGACATCTCTGCTGCTTGCAGGGCGCTGATGAGTTCATGGGGCGCTGCGTGTGCCGGCCCAGCCTGCAGCGCGCACCGCGGCTCTCCTGGCACCCTGTGCTCAAAGGCAGCAGGAACGTCGGCGAGCTGCTGGCTGCCTTCGAGCTCATCCAGAGGGAAAAGGTGAGCTCTCCTCCTGCTGCTCCACCCCAGCACGGCGCAGCCGTTCTGCTGTCCCCGCTGGGCTCGGCAACTTGCAGCGTGGGCACGCGATGAGCAGAGCGGAGGGATGGGGGTTGGTGCCGGTCCAGGTGCTGGGGGCTGTGAGCTGCATGGCCCAGTGCTGCTCCTGCAGGGATGCAGGTCCCAGTGCTCCTCCTGTTGCGTGGATGCGGATCCAGCTGCACCAGTGTAGGTTGTGTTGCTCCTCTCGTAGGGATGCATGTCCCAGTGCTCCTCCTGCACCGATGTAGGTCCCTCTGCTCCTGCTGCAGAGATGCATGTCCTGCTGCTGCTCCTGCTGCATGGATGCAAATCCCGCTGCTCCTCCTGCACCAGCGTAGGTCCTGCTGCTCTTCCTGCAGGGATGCAGGTCCCAGCGCTCCTCGTGTTGCATGGATGCAGATGCTGCTCCTCTTGCACCAATGTAGGTCCTGCTGCTGCTCCTGCAGGCATGCACGTCCCTCTGCTCCTTCTGCATGGATACAGATCCCAGTGCTCCTCCTGCACCAATGTATGTCCTGCTGCTCCTCTTGCAAGGATGCATGTCCTGTTGCTCCTGCATCCTTCTCCTGCATGGATGCAGGTCCAGCTGCTGCTCCTGCAGAGCACCCCACTGCCTGCATGCTGCAGCTACAGAGGACGCTCCGGATCCTAGACCGGGATTGCTGTGGGGATTGGGGCTGTGCCCCCCAGGGATGCTGGTGCTGGCTGTGCTATTGCTTGCTGCCTCCACGTGGGTCTGCAGCTGCTGGTGGGATGAAGGAGGTGATGCCCAGCCCTTCCTCACCCCGTTCAGGACCTGTAGGAGTTGGGGGGTTGAGCCCCGGGTTGGGGGTCCTGCTGTGCTCCCCGCTGCAGACAGAGCCCTGCCCTCACCTGGGGATTTGGGAGCCCGGTGTTGGGGCAGGGCTCTGCTGTTTGCTGTTTGAGCACAAAGGGAAAACGTGTCTTTCCTTCACAGCCAGCTGTCCACCACATCCCTGGCTTCGAGGTAATGCCTTCCTCCTCCAACCGGGCGGGAAAGTGGAACGCGTCCCTTTCCCTTTGCTTTAAGAGCGTTAGGATGGGCTCGTGGGTGAGAGTTGCTTTCGTTTCCTAATCTCCTCCTGTTCCCCAAACAGAACGAGCTGTCCTCTGCTCTGGATGAGGTGAGTCCATCCCATCTCATCGTCGTCACGGGGGCGCAGAATCCATCGCTCTGGGCTTTTGGTGATGCAGGAGGGAGGTGGGCTCTGAGCTGGGCTCCCAATGGCACATAGCTGGTGGTCAGCCTCGGTGGGATGAGCGTGCCTGAGATGCTGCTCCCCTCTGGGGGAGGCGTGCCAAAGTAACCATCTCTCTGCTCTTTCTCCTCCATTCTTTGCTGCTGCTGCGTGTGGACGGGGCACTGCAGCTCTGTGCCCCTGCCTTGTTCTACGAGGGGCTCCTCCGATGGGTACCTCTGTGCTCAAACCCTTTCTCCCTTTCGCCCTCCCTTCCTCTGCCTCGGCCTGGAAACCCCACAGAGGGAGCTGCACAACCTGGCCCTCGTGCCCCACAGGGTCCCCATCAGACCGACCCCCAAGGGCTGCATCTGAAACGCTGACCCCAACCCCAATGCCACCCTGAGTCTCTGGTGCCCTTTGCAGTAATTAACAAGCCATCAGGTGATCCATCAGGCTCCTTCCTGATGGAAGGGTGCCAAGCCCAGCCTCTGTCAGTGAGCAGGGAGCTCTGGGTCCTTCTCCCTGCTCTATGAGGGCAAATTTTGAAGCCCTCACTTGCTGCTGAGGTGGTGGGTGCATCCTTCTGCCCACAGCCTGCACGGAGGGCTCTACCTGAGCCCAGTCCTGATACCTGCGGGCAGTGGGTAGCCCATGGCTCGAGTTAATGAGTGCATGGCTGTGGTGCTTGAACCTCCTTGGTGATGCTGTTGAGTGCCCTCTGTCCCACCATGGTGCGCTGGTGGTACTTGTGGGGCTCGTCACAGCATCCCTGCCTGCTCAAGGAGCTGTGCTGTGCTGATCCATCCCCTCCTGCTGCTGCTCCATCCCTGCTCTCCATCCCTCCCTGTAGCCGATGCTGGATAGCTGTAGCTTTGTCTCCTCCTCCATCAGGGTGGGGATGACTTCAGCAGAAAATGGGAGCTCTGGGGGACCAGAATGGGAGGGCGATGGGGATGGCGGCCCAAGCTGATGCTATTGCTCTTTGGTTTTCAGTCTGAGGACTCTGACCTGCCTTACCCACCACCCCAACGGGAACCCAACATCTTCATGGTCCCCCAAGGGATCAAACCGGTCCTGCAGCGCACGGCCATCGAGGTGAGTGGCAGGGAGTGTGTGGGGCAGCCAGCAAGGGGGTGGCATGGGTAGGGTGGCATCCTTAATGGGGATCCTTGCTAGGGATTGACACTGGAATGGGTTGCAAGGCAGCTGCATGGCTGCAGGGCTGGGAACTGGTTCGACCCATGAGCTACCAACCAGAGATCTCCTTATACCATTATAACAGCAAATCTGGCTCTAGGTTTGCCCTGCGTGGATAAACCACGTGCCTTCCACTCCTCCTGGGTGTAGCTGTCCCAGTGGACCAGTTTCCATTTATCCTCTGTTTCTTTCGTGCACTTGGCACTCCTCCTATTTCCAGGGTGATGAGAAGGCTCCAACCGAGCTGGGGCCTGGGGCAGTGAGCCCCATGGAAGGGTCAGATCCTGGGGCACAGCACAGACCAGGACCACCCTTGCTTTTTAGAATGCAAATCTGCCTCACGTCAGGACGATGGTTCCCCCAAGCAGAGATGCTCTGTTGGTAGATAAGCAGTTGCTGACCTGGTTTGTTGCTCTCCCAGCAGCATGCTGTCCACCTGGTCTGCAACCGTCGAGAGGCTGAAGGCAAATGCAGAGGAAGGCTCAGTCTTTTCTCCTTGTTCCTCTTGCCCTGCAGATCCTGGCCTGGGGGCTGAGGAACCTCAAGAGCTACCAGCTGGCCAGTGTCACCTCACCCAGCCTGCTGGTGGAGTGCGGGGGGCAGCTTGTGCAGTCCTGTGTCATCAAGAATGTCAAGAAAAACCCCAACTTCGACGTCTGTGTGCTCTTCATGGAAGTGGTGAGGACCTCTTTGTGGGGTTGGCTGGTAGAGCTGGTTTGGACAATCGTTAGAACCAGAGAATCATTGGGAGCTGGAGGGAATCACAGAAGGGTTTGGGTTGGAAGGGACCTCCATAGAACCATAAAATGGTTTGAGTTGGAAGGGATCTTCAAAGAACCATAGAATGGTTTCGGTTGGAAAGGATCTTCATAGAACCACAGAAAGGTTTGGGTTGCAAGAGACCTTCAAAGAACCATAGAATGGTTTGAGTTGGAAAGGGTCTTCGTAGAACCATAGAATGGTTTGAGTTGGAAGGGATCTTCGTAGAACCATAGAATGGTTTGAATTGGAAGGGATCTTCAAAGATCCATAGAATGGTTTGGGTTGGAAGGGATCTTCGTAGAACCATAGAATGGTTTGGGTTGGAAGGGATCTTCATAGAACCATATAATGGTTTGAGTTGGGAGTGATCTTCAAAGATACTTGGAATGGTTTGGGTTGGAAAAGATCTTCATAGAACTGTACAATGGTTTGAACTGGGAGCGATCTTCAAAAGTACATAGAATGGTTTGAGTTGGAAGGGACCTTCATAGAACCATAGAATGGTTTGTGTTGGAAGGGATCTTCATAGAAGCATAGAATGGTTTGAACTGGGAGGCATCTTCAATGATACATGGAATGGTTTGAGTTGGAAGGGACCTTCAATGATCCATAGAATGGTTTGGGTTGGAAGGAACATTCATAGAGCTGTAAGAATGGTTTGGGTTGGAAGGGATCTTCATAGAACGATGGAATGGTTTGAGTTGGAAGGGATCTTCAAAGATCCATAGAATGGTTTAGATTGGAAGGGATCTTCATAGAACCATAGAAAGGTTTGGGTTGCAAGAGACCTTCAAAGAGCCATAGAATGGTTTGAGTTGGAGGGGATCTTCAAAGATACATAGAATGGTTTGGATTGGAAGGGACCTTCATAGAAGCATAGAATGGTTTGAGTTGGAAGGGATCTTCATAGAACTGTAAGAATGGTTTGAACTGGCAGGGATCTTCAAAGATACTTGGAATGGTTTGACTTGGAAGGGATCTTCATAGAACCATAGAATGGTTTGGGTTGGAAGGGATCTTCATAGAAGCATAGAATGGTTTCGGTTGGAAAGGATCTTCAATGATCCATAGAATGGTTTGTGTTGGAAGGGATCTTCAGAGATGCATAGAATGGTTTGAGTTGGAAAGGGTCTTCATAGAACCACAGAAAGGTTTGGGTTGCAAGAGACCTTCATAGAACCATAAAATGGTTTGAGTTGGAAGGGATCTTCATAGAACTGTAGAATGGTTTGAACTGGCAGGGATCTTCAAAGATACTTGGAATGGTTTGAGTTGGAAGGGATCTTCATAGAAGCATAGAATGGTTTGGGTTGGAAGGGATCTTCATAGAACCACAGAAAGGTTTGGGTTACAAGAAACCTTCATAGAACCATAGAATGGTTTGAGTTGGAAGCGATCTTCATAGAACTGTAGAGTGGTTTGAAGTGGGAGGCATCTTCAAAGATACTTGGAATGGTTTGAGTTGGAAGGGACCTTCAATGATCCATAGAATGGTTTGTGTTGGAAGGGATCTTCAGAGATGCATAGAATGGTTTGAGTTGGAAAGGGTCTTCATAGAACCACAGAAAGGTTTGGGTTGCAAGAGACCTTCGTAGAACCATAGAATGGTTTGAGTTGGAAGGGATCTTCATAGAACTGTAGAATGGTTTGAACTGGCAGGGATCTTCAAAGATACTTGGA